ACTGTCTCCAGGGTCCAGCACAGTATCGAGCACAAAGCACAAGTGTAATAAAGCACTTACTTCTTTCTAAACACTCTATTTTTTTCTTTTAAAAATAGCCTTTTATTTTTCAGATTATGAAAGCAATAATGCCGATTGCACCAATTTTTCATACAATATCCACAAAGAAAAAAACAAAAACTATCTGTAATCCCACCACCCAAAGAAAACCACTTTTAACATTTAGATGTAGTCCCTTCCAGTAATTTTCTATGTGTACACGTACATATGAAATCAGAATCCTCCTGTCATATCTAGTTTTCTCAAGGATTATAACAGTATCTTTTGGAGACAGATAGAGGAGACATTTTTATCACAATTTGAGTGATGAGAAAACTGGAACCCAAAGACACACGTCTAATGGACGGCAGAGCCAGGACTGGAATCTGTGAACCTTGTCACAGTACCAGGCTCCTGCTGCTCCCCTGAGGCCTCCTCATTAGGTGGTGCTCTTCTTGCAAGAGAGTGTGCAAAATCCAGCATCCATGGGACATGGGTTTGCAACTGGATGTTCTTCCTCAGGAAAGGGACAGATTTAAGCTCATCCTGTTTCTACATTATGGTTGTGTAGTGCATAAGAATCTAATGTTTCAAAGGGAAACAAGGATGGAGCACCTAGGATCTCATCCCTGTGATAGGTTAAGAAGTGGAGCTACGCAGATATCATTAAGATGCAGAGTTTCTTTCCAATAGCCAAATGACATCTGAACAGTGATGGCTTGGCTCAGAGCATGTTGCTACAGGAGCCACAGCTATAGGTTCAATCCTGTCATAGACTAGTGAGTTTTCTATGACCACTAACTGTATTCCAGAACAACGTACACAGCAAGTGTTCAATAACTGTGCATTGGGCTGAATTGAATGTTTATAGTTATTCATAAGGGGTAGTCAGCAAAAAAGAATGTTGCCAGCAAATATAAATATCCCTACCACTACGCCCAGTATAGAAAAGGCTATCCAATGTGAACTACCTTTCTATTTTATTTTAAGCAAAGGACTAAATTGTAATCCCTCAGACACACACCAGATTGTTAGCTCTACAGATGAGAGAACCAAATCTTATTTATCTTCATGTCCCCAGAACACCTAGCCTAGAGCCAGACACATTTGAAGTGTCAATGTTTTTTGAACTGAATTGTATTTGCTAGGCCGGTGTGGGAGTTAAGAAGATGTTGACTAGTAATTCACTATTCCTTTCCTTGAAAGCTCTGTAAATCAAGCTCTTAAAAAAAGCAGCAAGCTAAATTCCAAAACCGTCTCTTAGGAGAAATGCCCACGGCTGGTGGGGTCTGGACTATGTCCACTGAACGTGCAGATCTCTTCTGCACAAACATCCCTTACTCCCAAGAGAGCCTATGACTAGCCGACAGGCTGTGGAGACTCACAAGTTCCCTCTTTCCCAATGGCGAGCAGGTCAGGGGAAAGGGGTGGGAGTCGAGTGATGAAGCACTGCTGGACTAAATGTTCTCCTCTTCCCAGGAGAAGGAAAATCTCACAACAGGAGGAGAGTTGGCACATTTCTAGAGGAACAGCCAGAAACAACATGGGCTGTAGTTGAAAATGATCTTTTCTCAAAACAAAAAGTACTACCTTCAATATTCTCTCTTACCTTAGATTGGAATGGCCTTGCCAGAGCTGGACTGGAATCCTACAAACTCGAATCAAAAGCTGACTGGGTAGGTGGAGGGGTAATATGGGATATGGGTTGAGGTGCCATTAGGCTAAGACCCGATAACGACAACAACAGAAAAAAAACTAGTATCTGCCAATAGGATCTTTTCCTGAAATGCACTGAGCTGAATTTGAAGGGACTGTAATAGAAAATACTGATTTTTCTGGGAGGCAACTAAAACATAACTCACTAATGCCCTAAACTCTTAACACTCTTGAAGATTTAATCACAGTGTAAAACCCACAAGTTTTTATTGTCAGTGTTTGGATATCAACCGTACAACTCTCTGAAGCGGCAACAGTATGCTCCTAGGTCTGTGACCATTGCACATCTCAGGGGCCTGCTGGCAAGGTCTGTCCGATTGGTGCCCGGGTCTAGCCTAGTAAATTCTTTCCGGGAGACTTAGGACACACTCTCCCAGCTGCAAAGTTCTCTGCTTATAAGGTACAGAATTTATTAGCCCAAAGAAAGAGAAAAAGAAAGCCTGCTACCTTTTAAAGTGCTTTTACATACAGTTTCTTTACTAGAGCTTGGCATTTCCAGAAATACAGCTGTGCAGAACATTTGAGCCTTTGTACTACATCAATAGGACTTGTTTGAGCTTCCAATGAACCTCTGTGCTGCTACTACCTATCAACCAAGGTGTCTCATGGTAAGCTTTTAAAGAAAGTCACCTGTATTATCGCTCATTTGGGGAGAACGAAGCCATGAGAACTTGCATCTTTAATCTAACACATGGCCATGTGAAGGTACATAGAGAGTTGATACGCAATCCAGGTTTGTCCAGCTCTGGAAATCAAACGAGTCTAGTCACCCACAAACCATAGGTTTTCTTCTAGCCTAGGTTTTCTTCTCTTCAGTTCCTCAAGATGCCTGTTCCCATCTCCAGACTCAATTCGGAGACTAACAGTGGCCTCAGACCACAGCACAGACACCAAAGAGAGTACTGCAAGAAACAGTGTGGCACGGTGAAAAGAAAATAGCATTTAGAACTGAAAAACTCTGAGTGCCAGCTCTTACTACTTGTCTGACCTTGGATAAGTCACTTAACAACTTGAAAGAACCCTAGTTTCTCTTCAGCAAAATAAGTATAAATAGTCATACTCATCTCACCAGGCTCTCTTCAGAGCAATTATGACAAATTTTTTTATCTTATTTATGTGTTTATATACTTTCCGTTTCTCAGTTCACTTCACTAGACTATAAGCTCCAGGAGTTCAAGGACCTTGTCTTTTTGGCTCGTCACAGTGGCTGTTTGCCAGGAATAGCGATCAGCATATAGTACATGATCAAGAGGAGTGAAAGAGATTTGAATGTGTGAAGGAAGGAATAAAGGAAAGACAGGAGGAAGGAAGGACAGAGTGTTTGGAGTTTTACTGATGTGTGGTATATGAAAGTGGGTCTGTAAATTGTTAAGTATTATACACATTATTAAATATATAAATAATATTTGGTGCATTAATTATACCAGGGTGATCTTTTAAAAATGTAAGTTAGATCATGTTACTGCCCTGTAGAAAACCCTCCAATGGCTTTTCATACTACTTACAAAAAAGTCAAACTCCTTTTAGCTTTCAAAGCCCTTCGTGATCTGACCCGGGCTGGCCTCATGTCCAGTCTCCCCCTTCCCTGCCAGGCCCCCAGCACTCTGGTGTTCTTATGTTTCCTCAAACATGCCAACTCTGTTCCTGCCTCGGAGTCTTTGTGCTAGCCCCTCCCCCGGCCTGAAAGCTCTTCTGCAAAAATCTGCATGTCTGGCTCCTTCTTGTCACTGGGCTCTTGGCTTAAATGTCACCTTCTCAGAGAGGTCTTCCTTGGATATACTCTAAAGGAGCCCTCACTGACCCCCTCTTATAGTAATCCATTATCTACTTATTCAGGTATCTACTACTAGTCTCCTCCCCAGTGCCTGATGGTCAATAAATATTTACATTTGTGTGACATTATATTTGTTCAGTGCTTACATTTCATAGATGCTTTTCTAATTATTATTTATTTTATCACCACAAGTTTATGAGCTCAAAAGAAACAACAAACAAAGGAAACCCCCTATGGTTACAAACTGAAAATTCCCTCTCACTCCTCCATACCCCAGCCCCACATACACTGAGAGAGAGGTATCCTGGCCCTGTGAATAAAAGCAACTGTGCCAGTCAGCTTTAATATTTGTGACTTAATTGGAGTCATGTACAATCAGGGATACAATAATTACTTAGTACTCTAACTAGAGGGATTCTTTTGAGACATGGCAATGGTGCTGTTGGGTGCCAAGATGTTCTCTGTTCTGGGCTTGGAGGCCTGGGTAGTGAGAAGAATAGGGGGGTGGAAATGGGCAGGGGGAAGCAAATGGCAGGAACACTCACTGGTTCCAGTTGGGTTTGTTTACTGTGGACCCCAGGGCAGCAGTAATTCTGTAGGAAGATTACTGGACCAGAGCACAGAAGCAGGTTCTAGGGCTGGCTCTACATGCCCCTCCCCGCAACCCCAGGCTATCGCTCCCTCTGTTATATGAGGTGGAACTGGATCATCTCGAAGGGGAATGCCAGCTCTGACATTCTATGGGTTAATGAGAGGACTCTGACCTTTTATCATGACTAAGATGTCTGTGAGAAGGATAACTCACGTAATATTTTTGATAAGCACAGCTTTTCTAGACTAAGTGGGATTTCTTTGATTGGTCAATAAAGTCACTGGACAAACCCAGATCTCTGCTTTTGCCATTCTTCTTTAGCCTTCCCTTTCCTTTGCTTTCCTAGAGAAGGTGATACCCTGGGCAAATCCCCTCATTGTCACATAGGGATCAGCATCTAGTGTAAGTGTACTTCAGCCATTTTCCAAGGGATGGGTTCCTACTGTATCTGATCTTGGCCAACACTCTCCCATCTGCTTTCAACATGTTGCATCTAACATTAACTAAGTCTCCTATTAGCATTAAAAGAAAACAATCTGGAAAAATTCACTCAAGCAGAGTTCAAACAGGCCACAAGTAGATTTGGAATCTCAACTGCACAAGGTTTGTTAAAATAATAGTGGTAAGTATATAAATACATATAAATGTATATATGTGTATATGCATAAACCCATATGTACATACGTGTGTGTATATATTGGGGTATGTGTGGGAGGTGAAGCCAAGAGTCTGTAAAATGGGTCAAGAATTCTTCTGTTCAATTTATGAAATTAACTGGTAACAGAAGGAGGAGAAAAATTCTACCAGTGTGGAACAAAGCATGATCAAAAGAACTGAAGGACATGGAAAAGGAGTTGGGAACCTTTATGTTACACTTACTGGTAATGGGTTAAAATTCTGGTCCACGAGGTGATTGTATCCATGGTCAAAAAATGAGTGCCGAATCACAACATCAATGCCCCGATTGGCCAGCATTCCTAAAGTGTTCAACCATCTGAAAAGCCGGGGAAAAAAGCTACATCAATACATTTTAAAAATAGCATAAAACAAGCTCTATAAAAATTGCCAACATACACACCACCACCCACACCCATCAAATTTACCTAGTACTTTAGAGAAAACTATTTTAAGCATTAAATACACAGATGGAAGAGATCTATAGAGATGATCAAATCTAACCTCTTCATTTTATAAGAAAATAAAGAGGTCCAGAGGAGTAAAATGAATTGCCCTTGGTCATAAAATAGCTTGTTGCTAATGACATCTCTTATTCCTATAATACTAACAAATAAAATGAACACCCTAGCCACTTGTAAGCCTAAAGTCATCCCCCTTGACCACAAAACACACAATCACAGAAGCAAACACAATATTTTTTCCATCACTCAAACTCCCCTGCTTGCACCTATTCACTGTACATGTACTTTACATATGACGCTAACCCACATACTCCTGTGACCTATGGTCCAGTCATTTGCATCCCTCATATATCACTGTCAGTAGGCAATGCAGTAATAATTTCCCTTGGCACTATAACTAACTATACAGGGATTGGAGTAAGCTACCATCACACACATGTTGCAGTGGAGGACCTGCATTGCTCACACACTTATTACATACCCCATCATGCCAAATAGAGTCTCCAGGGCATGCTATCCTTCAAAAATACTGCCCTCATGGTTTTTCCAACACCTACTGCTAACTCTGCCTTCATCATTTACACATTTAACTCATTCATTCATTTGTGAATTGATTTCATTTTCTTTCTTTGTATTCTGAAATGCAAGGAAATTTCCAATTGTAATAATATATGTGTGTAAGAAAGGTGACTTAGAGCTTCAGTCTTCTCAGGGTAAAAGATAAGACATTTCACAATCTTTCCTAAGAATATATTGTCTGGCTTCACCTATCACCTCTTCTGTCACCCTAAACTTTATTCCCCAGGCTCTAAGCCACATAAAACTAATTTTGGGGACTTCCCTGGTGGCGCAGTGGTTGAGAATCTGCCTGCTAATGCAGGGGACACGGGTTCGAGCTCTGGTCTGGGAGGATCCCACATGCCGCGGAGCAACTAGGCCCGTGAGCCACAACTACTGAGCCTGTGCGTCTGGAGCCTGTGCTCCGCAACAAGAGAGACCGAGATAGTGAGAGGCCCGCGCACCGCGATGAAGAGTGGCCCCCGCTTGCCACAACTAGAGAAAAGCCCACGCACAGAAACGAAGACCCAACACAGCAAAAAATAAATAAATAAATTACTAAACTCCTACCCCCAACATCTTAAAAAAAAAACCCAAAAAACAAACTACTTTTGGCTGCTCTCACATACTTACCTGAGCCTTTTTATATGTTTTAACTTCTCCTTAGAATTTCCTTCCTCTCTTCCACTAACCCACCTCACCTGGCAAATTTCTTCCCATCTGTTAATCTCCAAGTCAAGTGCCAGAACTCTTATTCATACCCTCTGCTGGCCCACTGAATGATAATTACTTACTTCTCTGTCTTCTCCCAGCTGGTATGAGCTCATCAAAAATAGACACATTTTAGCTTTGTACCCAAAACAACCATCACAGTTCCTGGCACTCTATAGGTGCTCAATACTCTAAGTTGAAATTGATCTGGATAAAATTAGATTCTAGGACTTTGAGAATCACCATTCAGCATTCTAGGGACAAATAATGCATAGTTATGATTTCCCAAATCTGAGACCATATGGAGCTCCAAACCAGTGACCTTACTGACATGAAGACCATTGCTAATTAATCACTATGGCCAGAGCCCTTGTTTCCCCATGGCTTTTCAGAATAGATGGTTAGTTCTGGGGTTGTCTTCATCTTCCTCCTGTAATAATAAATCTCCTGAGTAGGGGAAATAAATGATGTTCCAGGTCTCCCTTTTATGTTCAGGTAGAGAAAAGTGGCAAGATAACTGGTATATCTCACCAAGGATGCTTCTGCAGCCATTATCTTTCATCCACAAAACTTTATTGAATATCTACTACATGGCAGACATTACTAGGTGCTGCAGACACAGCAGTATGCCAAGGGTAGGGCGTCAAAGAATCTCAAAGCCCTGACTGGGAAAACTACCCTTGAATACTTGGCAGCAGAGAATTCTCATTTGTGCATGCATTTGTATATGCCCTGGTAAGCTTATGGTTATGCCCTGTATTGCAAAAGGGCTGTAAAATGCCTTCTTTCCAACTCCTTGCTAGCCTTCTGGAGCTTCCTAGAATGCTTTACATTTTTTTTCCCAGGAAGCAATTTATGCCCCTTGGAGAACTGGACTCAAAGGGCATATATCTAGGTACTGCCAGTGGGGTTGAGAGGAAATGGGTGATAAAGAGGTAAGAGAGAAGACCAGGGGCAGAATGAGCTGGTTGTCATTTGATCTGTCAACAAAGCATTGGACATCTGAACTACAACCAAAATCTAAACAACAATATTAATCTGTGTTTGCAAAGCGACTCAGAGATCTATGGATATCTGGCTGATGCTCATGAAAAGGCAGGTCTCTCTCTAGCTCTCTTCATGAAGGTCTGTGCTATTTCTCATTTCACATCACTCTCTAAAGGGAAGAATGTTCACGAAAACAGTACAAGAGGGCTGCTTGCTGGGCCCTGCAGAGGAGTCATTCTGTGAAGGCTGAGCAAAGGCCATTCTTCTTCTGATTCCAGAGGCCTCCTGCAGTACGGACTGTCAACCTGTCTCTCACAGTGAAACCCCGTGAGGAGAGTACTTTTGAAAGAAGACCCTCAGCAACACTGTAGCAAATGCTGATTCACTCCATTTCCTTCACTGAACCATGCTCCCTGAACAACCTCTCTGTGCCTCTCATGTGAGGACACAGGGCTGGAAGACCCCAGCCATCATCACGTAGACAGTGACTCATTATCTTCATCTGCATCTGCCAGGATGCCATCTTAAAGACAACCTACTTGACCAGCCTGATTTGTCCTTCACAACTGTATTGAAGAAGCTGCCTTCATGGAGAAGATCTACAGCTATATAATTAGGAGCAGCTGTTAGTAGTGAAACGCATAGTTGAGGGCAGAGCTGCAGTTCTTAGGAGAACCTTGCTCAGACAAAAAACCAGGACCACAGACTAGACTGGACCAGGAACAGGTCACTTGGTTAATCTGTGGTCCATGACAATGGCAGGCCAGCCAGAGGTCCTCATGCTTCTGGCTTATGTTGTTCTCCAGACGACTGCAGTAGCCTTCAAGTTCATTTTCCTACCTCTTGCCTATCCAAACTCTTGTGCATACTACTATCAAAGCCAGCGTTTTAAATACAGGTCAGATGGGTCTCTCTCTTCCTCCAAAATCATCAATGGTTTAGCCACTGAGTATAGAACAAGGCCTCATTTCCCGTGCCTGGTTTTCACGGTCTTCCATGATTTGGTGGTAGAACTCTGTCCCTAATCACAGCCCCCACTACAGCCCTGCAGATACTGAGGCTCTCTCACACTAATCACTTCCCCTCATAACGTTCCTTCAGCCTCTATGCTCCCACCACCATCAGCAACAGTCTTCACCTATAGAAATTAGAGAAATCTATGTTCCACTCAAACGCCTCTTCCTCCGCAAAGCCCTTCCTGATCCTCCCATTCAGAAACTCTTGATTCTTTTGCATGTAACCCCTCTTGTGGATAGCCCACGTAAGGCAGAAAGAGAGATGGCATACTGTAGTGGCAAAGAGGCTGGACTCTGGAGCAAACTGCCTTGGCTTGAGTCCAAGCTCTGCCACTAATCAATAATCACATTTATCTCACTGGGTTCTTATAAGGGTATAAGGATATAATAAGGGTATCTAATACACTGGTTGTTAAATTATTAAATACATATAAAGCACATCAGATAGTCCTTAGCATATGGTAAGCACTATGCAGTTAAAATTATTATTATTATGACACTTGTCTCCTACAGCTTTTCTTATTCCCCATCTCCATTCCTCCAATCATAAGTTTCTAAAGGGCAAAACCTGTCTTACTCTTACCTATCTCCCAGGACTCAGGTGAAAAGTAGAAGAGAAAATGTATGTTGTCTGTACTGTATTTTGCACTGAAGACATAAAATAAAGCTCTTATTACTATCATGATTACTACTACTATTATTACTTTTGCTCTAATGCTGGTACCTGAGATCTTAGTAACTAGACAAGTCCCTAATTGCTGTTTGTTGAGTGATTAAACACATTTACAAAGAAATGGATGAAGAATTTTCAGTGGGAAACGAACCCCCCCTCCCCCGGCCAATAGGCAGAATAATGAGCAATTTCACTGTCCTTTCCTCAAAGCCCTTGGGAGTGAAATTGCAAGTGTTACTCACAAGAATCCTGCAGCATAGGAATCTGACAGATTGTTTGTGCCTCCAACTGAGGTGGTCACCACACCTTCAAGCCAAATCTTCTTTCCTGGGGTGTATGTGTTAACCACCTGTTCACACAAAAGCAGAAGGAGATGATGAGATTTTTAAAAGCTGTTCCCAAATGAGAAGGAACATATATTCCCTTAAAGAAGTTCCTCTCATCTGCTGCTCCCAGGTGGTCATGACCTGTGCTCTTTTCATGGTGATGCATCCCATACAGATAGCTGGCACACACACACAAAAGAATTAATATTGATACATGTCCACTCAAAGAAATGATCATTTTTTTCCCATAAGAAAACCCAAGTGACAATGTGACAGAAGAACAATGCATCCTTATCTAGGACATAAGTTGACTGCAACACCCTTCACTGGAAGATACAGGTGGTATGACGTTTCCATATTAACAAGTATTGAGAAGCAAATTTTCTTAATACTCTGTTATGGCACATCCATGGATGAGTGTACTGTCCATGCATCAGCAGTTGTGAATCATGAGAGAGGGCAGAGATCAATGTTTGGGAAAGGTATATTATCATTACCAAGGCATGTATGTATATTACAACCACATTTTGAAAATAACTGCAGTAAGTGTAAAAAGAAAAACCACTGACTCACACGTGAAACATCCTACACAGGGAGCTGCCTTCTAAGCATACACAAAGCCTCTCGTCAAAAGGTGGCCCTCTGAAATTTTGAAATATCCTCGTCTCTGATCCACAAGCTGGAGATTGGCCAGACTATCTAGATGTGGTCTCAGATTCTCTGGAGAGCAATCTGGCAGTACTTAGGGATAATGTTGTATGCTGGGTAATCTCTGAGAGCAGAGTCTAAGACAAAGGCTTGTCTATACGTAGTTCATTTGGGAAGAAATAACCGGGAGCAGGAATGAGGAACTGGGGACTGTGAAAAGGAAGAAGAAAAAAACAGTACAAGAATGAGTTTTCAAGTTGGTAACTACTGGCAACTTATACTCAATTCTACAGGGAACTTGGTAAAAGCCTTAAGAACTGTGTCTCAGAACTGTCCCCCAAGCCGGGGGGTGACCAGGGGAAGCATTCATCGTTTGGCTCCTATTCTCCAACGGTCAAGAGCAGCCTTGTGACTGTTATCACCCCATTTCACTGTGCAGGCATGAGTGCTGAGCAGGTTCCCACCATTCCACACTCTGCCTTAGAGAAGTCCCAGAGCAGAAAATGAGAGGTCCTCCAGCACCACACCAGCACCAAGCTGGTTGCAGCCTGTGCAGCTGCCTAGCTCTGGTCTCTGCAGGGATGGCTAGAGTAGGAGGTGGGACTGAGAGGATGCGGGTTGTGCACAAGAGGGGCTGGATAAAGACAGTAGTGTATTTAGGTCCTACGGCCCACCAGTTCCTCTCCTAGACATATAGAACAAAGCAATTCTGCCTCAGGTCTCTAAGGGGACAAGTATGAAGATGTTTACTATGTCACTGTTTGTGGCAGGTGTCCATTGCTAGAGGAATGAAAAAGTAAACTACATACATGAAATATTATGCAGCAGTTATAGCAATACATTCAATATAAGTCCAGCAACATGAACAGGCTTTAAAGATTTAGTGAGCTTTTTAAAAACAGAAACAGAATGAGGTTTATGGCACAATATTATTTATGTGATTACTCATTCATACCCAATAACACTAAAAGTATATAAAGATACATCTCTGTTAAGGACATATATCAAAGACACAAGAAAAAAAAAGGAAAACAAAAAGAAAAAAAAAGAAAATAAGAAAAAAAAAGACATAAGGAAGGCATGTATAAAAGGGAGGTGAATGTAAGTGCGGATTAGAGATGAAGGTGAAAATTAAAACAAAAGGAGGGCTTTGCATGAACTGATGATAATAGTTTGCTGCAGTTGAGGAGGGTAATTAATTCTCTGCACCTCAGGTCTAAAAAAAAACAAAAACCATATGTATGTGGTAACATATATGCCAGAACTTTCCTTTTCCCAGACCCGTGGGCAGACATTAGCAAGCAATCATATTCCTCTTTTCATCTCTCCCTATGTATAGCTCCCTGCCCTCTGCTCTCTCCCCTGCATCTACTAGAGAATATGCATTATTTGAGACCTATTTTAAAATCAGGGTTGGTAAAGTACTTGACGCTTTCAGGGTTAAAGTTGTAAATATATTTTAAAAATTTGAGATGCAAGTAAGGATTATGATCAAGAATAGAAGAAAAAATTAATAGCGGAGGTCAAGCTGGAAACTGTTAAAGATTAAATAAGAATTTCCCCTTGCACCCAGAGTCATTGAGGACACCACAAGGTGGTCCTCTCCCCCTTCTTGACACTGCTCAGAGTGCCCAACCCAAGGGCAGCTGGAAACAGTATAAATAAGAAAGCGAGAAAAACACCTTAAATGATCAGAAGACAGAGTCATATGGTGAAATTAAAGGCCTGCAGTGATGATTCCCCTTAAAACATCCATGCTTCTGATAAACTTTGTGCTTCCTTTATGACTAACTGGAACTATAGGAGCAGTTCCACATGTAGCTGTATTTCTGATGTATCTGTGGGGAGGAAGGTAATCTCCGCGTCTTACTCTTCCGCCATCTTCTCCCTTGATCATGGTGATGGTTTCATGAGTGTTTGCATATGTCCAAATTCATCAAATTGTATACAGGCAGACCTCAAAGATATTGCTGGTTCGGTTCCAGGCCACTTTTTTTCTTTTCTTTTCTTTTGCACTTAGTCTAGTTTCACTGGCTCATAGGGTGCGGCGGGCAGAGGCCTCAAACCCAGCACTTTCAGACCAGAGTTTCTAGCGCAAAGCGGCTGCACAACTTCCCAGCTCAAGATGGAGGCAGCAACGCAGGCCGTGTGCAGAGAGGCTGCGCCCGGACGGGATCTGGAGCTGTGACTAACTGGAACTGAGTAACATATCTGTGTTTTTATTTTTTGCCTTTGGTTTCCAGGATAGTCAAAGATTAATTTTTGCTCAAAGATATTGAAATGATTGAGGCAGTTAGAGAAAGGTGGTTTGGTTAAATAAAACAAAAAGGTAACTAGTATAAGATGATGAACCTTGAAATCATTGAGCTAAGTGAAAGAAGCCAGACACAAAAGGCCACATATTCTATTCTTTCATTTATATGAAATGTCCAGAATAGTCAAATCCATAGAGACAGAAAGTAGATTAATGGTTTTCTAGGGTTGGAAAAAGTGAGGGAGAATGAGCGGGGAGGATGGGGAGTGACTACAAATAGGTATGGGGTTTCTCTGGAGGGTAATGAACATGTTCTAAAATTAAACAGTGGTGATGGTTTCACAATTCTGTGAATATACTAAAAACCACTGAATTTCACACTTTTAAAGGGTGAATCTTATGGTATATGAATTATACCTCAATAAAGCCGTGTGTGTGTGTGTGTTTGTGTGTATGTATCATTAGCAAAAGGAGAGGTAGACGCTAATAGGCAGATAACTGATGTGGAAAGAGGAATACGTCCTGGAAGTCTGGGGTTCTACCACACAGCAGCTGTGAGACTTCTGGCTCAGCATTATCTTGGAATTCAATTTCTTCACCAACATGTAAAGCCACAAATTTGAAGTAGATGAAATCTAAGTCCTTTCCAAATAGAAAATGTTAAAATGTATTAGTATTTTGTAATGCTTATGCAGGTCCCCTTGGCTCCTATCCCTCAAAGGTCAAGAGTAAATTTGATTATGGAAATTAAAATTAGATAACAAATATGGGAGACAAAAAAAAAAAAAAAAAAAGCCAGAGCTAGTCAGAGCTGGTAATCTCAAAAACAAAGATCTGAAGATCTGGGCCAGAGGTAAGTATTGAGAGTGGTGGGAAAAGCCACAGGAGTAGGTGGGAAAAGCCACAGGAGTAAGGGGAATATTTAAAATTAGACTGAAAAAGGGCGAAGGATGTCCATCCAAAAACATTAAGGCATTATCGAATGCATTTATTCATTCACTCAACAAATACTGAGCATTTGCTCTATGCCAAGCAGAGTTCTAGGGGCAGACGGTGAATGAAACAGAAGTCTCTGCTCTCATTGGCTTATATTTTAGTCAAGGGGAGGAGACTGACAATAAACACACAAACATAAATTTAGAAATAATAAGTGCTAGAAGGAAAATGAAACAGAGTAATCTGACAGAAAGTGCCTTGGCAGGAGGGGAGGGTTGATATTTTAGACGGTAGTCAGGAAAGATCCCTCTAGCTCCTTATATAAGAACTTTAAAGTCTAGTTCCTTTAAATGAGGACTTGATTCCAGAAAATGGTTGGATTTATAAATTACTATGTACACAGGACTCAGCAAGGACACAGACTCTGTGTAAATAAAGTTCATCTGAATTGTCTTCTGACTTGCAGGAAGATTTGGAAGGAAACAATCTAAAACTTCTTGTAATCGGTGAGGCAGAATTGATTAGTGGTTAGGGGCATGGACTCTACACACATTGCCTGTGTTTGAATACTGGTTTTATCATTGACTCACTGTTGACCTCACTGTGCCTTAATTTCCTCAGCTGTAAAATTAGAAAAGGAGAGCATTTTCTAATATTTAAGTGACCTAATATTTGTAAAGCACTTGGAAAGCTGTCTGGCATATGGTAAGCTCTTTTTTTTTTTTTTAACATCTTTATTGGCGTATAATTGCTTTACAATGGTGTGTTAGTTTCTGCTTTATAACAAAGTGAATCAGCTATGCATATACATATATCCCCATATCTCCTCCCTCTTGCGCTTAAAGTAAAGCAAATGTTACCTAGACAACTCTCTTTGTCCAAAGCACATGAGATTGTGTCTGGATCAATCTAACATTACAGTTGGTTGCTTTTCTTTTGGATACGTTTGTGGTGGTAGGTAATAGACCAGATGTATGCTAAGTAGCAGGGAAAGGCCTATTTCGGACATGGTGAGAGGCTTAATGAACTGTGTGTCTACTATGAGTGGAGAAGACCATCATAGTAACGTGTAGGGGAGGTGCTGAGGCTGGGTGCTGGTTGGGACTGTAGAGGAAATTAGCATGGACAGAAGAGAAAATAATCAGGAAAAACAGATGGAACCAGCTGCAAAATTCCCTTAGAAAG